TTTGTATTCAGTGTATTTTACTGTATTTCACTATATTTTAAAATTAAATATATTCACTGTTTATATTATGTTCTATTTTAATGTTTGTATTCAGTGTATTTTACTGTATTTCACTATATTTTAAAATTAAATATATTCACTGTTTATATTATGTTCTATTTTAATGTTTGTATTCAGTGTATTTCAATATTTATATCTTGTATTCATGTATACTGTATATACAGTATGCATGAATATATGTGTATTCAGCTGTATTAAAAAAATACAGATCTTCGAAATACATAAATACAGTAAAAAAATATTTATATAAAAATACAATGTGTTTGAGTGAATTTGTACAGAATATAATGTATTTGTATTATTGTATGTGACTAAATAGCAAAAAAGAGAAAAAAGTTCGTCGGAGATGGCGTTTTCCAGCCAAGAAGAGAAGAAAGTTCGTCGGATCCGTATAACAAATTTATGATAAGAGTTCATCACATTGCTCCTTTCCGTTAGAAAAATTCACTATTTTCTATTTCCTGGATGCCTTCTACTCTATTCTAATGTCTCGTCGGCCATCAATACTAGGGCATGTATCTTGAGTTGCTCGAAGAGAAAGAGATTCTTCTTTCTCGTCGCCCATCAATACTAGGGCTTGAGTTGCCCGAATAGAGAGAGAAAGAAGAAAAAATCTGAGAGAGAATATTGTATTAATTGAAAGAAAGAGAGAGAAAAAATATAAATAGCATATTTCATACCGCAATAGTAGTATATACCACAAATACCTATTTTGCTATAAAATATAAAATGTAGCTATAGAAAATAATATTTTAAAATAATTTTGGTTTATAATAAATAGGGTATTTACCTTTGATATATGAGGTAACATTTCCAATAACAATCTATTAGTACTTCCTCCGTCTCAATTTTATGTATAAGTGTTTGGATTTCGAGAGTCAAACGAATTATTCTTTTCCATATTGTGACTTATAATATGTTTTATATAGTTTCCAAATATTTAATTTTTTTCGACAAACTGAAAATTTGTATGTCTATATGCATAGTTAAAAATAAAAAAATTAAATCTCGAAAAGCAAAAAGTATCATATAAATTAGAGGGAAAATAGTTTTTTTCTCTTTTGTCCAACGAGAAAAGTAAAGAAAAGAAGCAAGAAATCAGGACCGACACTTTTGAAAATGACATAGTTTCTATCTACAATTAGCGAAGAGTTATTCTCATACACTTCTGTGATGTTCTATGTGGACTTAACAATTAATAACACGTGAATTATTTGATTTATACAAAAGGTAAAACAAATATAATGGCAAATATGTCAAAATATGAGGGCCTTAGTCATTTTATATATTAATGCAAGCGACAATCATGTGTATATATAGCTTCTGTAGCCTTTATATATATGACTAAGTACCCTCTTCAATCCTTGTTAAACTTGTGGAATGCCTAGCAGCAGTGTTCATAAAAATCCGAAAAATCGAACCAAATCGAAAATCGAACCAAATCGACCAAAATAAATCGATACTTTTTAGGTTTGGTTTGGTTTTGGTTTTGAATTTTATAAACCGAACAAAATTGATTTGGTTTTGGTTTTAATAAAAAAATAACCGAACCAAACCGACTATAAAAGAAACTATTTAAATTTATTATTACACCTATATATATATATATATATATATATATATGTATATTTTTATATAAAGTTTGATACATATTAGTAATTTGTATTTTTAGTCTAGTTTTTTGCTATTATATTAATCTAATTTTTTGCCTTTACATTCTAGTTTGATTGGTAGTTTTCTTTTGTTAAGTACAAGAATTTATTTCATGTTAAAAATAATCGATTTTTAATTGAGTACTTAAATTATTCATTACTATTTGATTCAATTATCATCAATATATCTTAGTAAATAATAGATTTCTCAAAGAGTAATTGATTTGATAGTGTTACGTTGAAAATGTAGTCGCCGGGATATACGTTTGGTAGTGTGTCTCATATCTAAGAAAAAACCCGATAAATAACCGAAAAACAACAAAAACCGAATCGATAAAAAATCGACTTAATTGGTTTGGTTTTGTTCCAATATTTGAAAAATCGACTTACTTGGTTTGATTTATTTTTAGGAAAAAATCGACCCAAACCGAACCATAAACACCCATAGTAATGCGCTACTGAAAACTTTTTGTTGATAGATAAAAGTATAAAACGACAGACCAAGATGACTTATAATTTAATAGGTATACGTCTTATCTGTCTTTCTTATGTTAATCTTGATCTATAAAATATACTAATGATCTTGAGTTCTTATAAATTAACTTTTATCATGTTGTTACGTTCCCGTTGCCTAGTAATATATTGTTCGCATAGATTGATTACAAATCTATCTATATCAATATATACTTATACCTTTGTCGTTTTTACCCTTTTAAAATATAGTTCACACTGGACAAAATAATAATTGTCATCTTATTATTTTTTTAATATTTAAGACTTTTAAATTAACTAAAATTTTATCTATTAAATTTTTCCTTATTTGAATTATGTAAGAACAACAAATATTTAGGAGTTTAAATCTTTTCATAACTACAATATCCTTAGCATACTGTAGAAGAAGGAATCATAATTGGGCGTTCATGACTTCTTTAGAAGTCCTTATTTTCATAAAACAAAGATTATTTTAGAGAGAAATATAAATAATTCGTATTCTTTTATTTTCTCATAATAATCGGAAAATGAAGATTGGACAACCAAATTGGGATGAAAAAAAGTAAAAAATACTCTCTGGTATAATAAAGAAAAGTTAATAATCTGAGCACCGAAATTAGCGACCAATCATCTTTTTTTCCAATATTTATACGGTTTTTAAATAATTTTTACCCATTGAGATAGTGTACACACGCGTCATAGGACTAGTATTATGAATTGCATTACTCATGTAAGTTTTGTAGCTCCAATATCGCTAGCAAAACTGATTTTCCGGTACTTTTAGACTTCTTCCATAGTCGAAAGCACGTAAATGGATATTTATAGAAGAGAAACATAAAAAGGTTTTCCTTTTTCCTAATAGTTTTATTATATCTATTCAATGTGATACTCTATTTTACGACTAATTAGTACTACTAATTATGAATTGATAAATTGGTTTATACGGCTATGAGATACTATTAGATAAAGAAAAAATTCCACTTCCATTAGACAAATTAGAGTTTATCTTTTCATTTTTTTCCTTCTCTCGGCTATACAAAAATGTAAACTTTGTTGAGGTTAATAGCGAAAATACTACTCTTTCTACATATGCAACAACAACAACAACAACGTCAACGCTCCAATTCCATAATATATTGATTAATGTAGGCTACGTTGAATTTTTGTAGTAGTTTCCCATTAATCAAATTTGGAAAGTTGAATTAATACTACAAACTGATAAGTTAAACTATGTCACGTTCATTAAGGGGTTCGGTTACAGACAATAAAGCTTGTAGGAGACATGCTTATAATGTTATATTACCTTTGGTAAATATTGCTTAATTTCTGCCTAACAATAAGGACATCACTTTTGATGTGATCAGTAGTTTTAACACTTCATCTCATATTGCAGAACACATGTAAGCACTTAGATTTATTTTTTTCTGCTCTAAAACACTTAGATTGACTTAAAAGAAGATGATCACACTTAGACTTTTCCACTAAAAAAAAAACAGAATTGGGAGGATTTAATTTTCATCAAATGGAGGAAAAAAGTTATAAAACTGCATAGCTCTTAAATTCTCCTTGGAATTTCAGTTAGAATACCTCTAAAGGAAAATTCTCCAGTCTCCTTGTCCTTAATTTTCTCTTCCTTGAATTTTTCTCCAAACAGATATTTTTTTTAAACAAAAACAATGGTGGTGTATGTACAAAGTTACGCGCACCTTATCTATTGGTACCAGCTACTTTCCACCTGCATAGTTACCAGATGAGTCTGTCTAATGTTTATGAAGGTTTAGTTAGACACTTTTATTTTGTCTACCATTGGAATTTGAACCATGCTTACAAGGTTTATTTCCGCTTATTTGATTATTAGGCCACATCTTGAATTCTCGTCTCCTAGCACATTCTAAGGATTTCAGAAGCCACTTTCAACGTATTTCACATTGTAAAAGGTAAGTGAAATAATACTTGCCATCTCACTTTTCAAAAGAACGAAATTTAGTGGTAAAATCCAAAATTTGTACAATTACATAAAACCTACTATTAATCTAAATGCAACTTCAAGGACTTTCAAAGGATGTAGGAGTATAAATTGGAGTTAGGGGTGTACATGGACCGGATTGGTTCGGTTTTATCAAAATCAAACCAAACCAACTATATCGATTTGGATTGGTTCGATTTTGTCGGGTTTTTCGAATTTTTTGTTACTTAAATATTATTTTAATCTTACTTTGTTGAATTTTTTATAAGTAAATATATGTTTAGTAAAAATATAAAAAATTGACAAACATATTATCTATTAAAATATTCTTATGGGAGAAATTTCTTAGTAACACATAATAGTTATTTTTTAGTCGTCACAATAATATTTTGTTGATGTACACTTTCAAGGTTAACCGAATTTAGTAATTAAACATAAAAATCAATATGATACCTAAATAATAATAATTATTTCACATTCAAAAAAGATATAAGAATTTAATAGATGTTAACATGAATATGGAAGAACAAAGAGATTGATGCATTTCAGTAACACTTGATGAGAAAGTGATCGTACAATCTATTATTTAAGGTTAATAAATATGGAGCACTTCATATACTATTAAATATTATATCCCGCAAAAGAATCCTAAATATTTCTAGACATTTTAAAAGAAAATTCTATATAAAATTTTAAAAGTATATATATACAAAAATTATATATTTATATGTCGAGTTGGTTAAGATTTTTTTTACTCAATACCAAATCTAGTCGGGCGTTTGACTTTTCGATTTGGTGCGATTTTCCGGTTCGATTTGTACACTCCTAATTGGAGTAGTAGTTCATTCCTGAAAAAAGAAAAGATAGTTTACAACAGTTCAAGAAGAGACACATATTATATATATAGCTTTTACAAATTACAACGTACATATATACAAAATCTTCAATCAGCGACATAAATTGCACAACTTGTGTGAACAAGTGAGCTAAAGGAGTCCATACATCAAAGCCTGCAGCTTCTTCTACATAGCTAGATCGTTTGTACAATCTTGGAAAAAATAGATTAAAAAGAGAACCACTTCAACGCAAATATTCGAATATTACCATACATAAAGAAAGCTTGGCCAAAAGAGAGGGTCAAAAACGTTTTACTTGACTTGAAGTTTCGATCCATGTCCTCTCCTTGAATGGTTCAATATATGTATATACCACAAAAAACTGCTAACATTGGCCTTCCAAGATTAGGGTTGCTTGAGGATGCTACACCACATACAGTAAGTTACCATGATATACAATCAACTATTCACGTAGTCAAATCTAGAGCGAGTATAGCAGGTTCAATTGAATCCACTATTTTTTACTCGAACCATATATATACATATAGAAAAAAAGGACTTACTGTATATATATAATCGATCACAACCATTCTGAATTCATCTTTGATGACTATATGGACTTATTTCTCGCACTGAAACCATCAAGCCACCCCTGAAAGACGCAGTAAGTCCAGGAGAGAAGCGTGGCGTGTGATATGGTTGGGCTAATTCGACATTAAATCGCCTTAGCAACGAAAGAGCCACACTTTTAATCTCAACAAGTGCCATTTCTTTCCCCAAACAGACCCTAAGTCCAGCTTGAAAAACTGGATACTTGAATGGATTTTCTTGAAAAAAAATTCCATCTTTCAACCATCTTTCAGGCTTAAACTCCAAAGAATCACAACCCCATAATTCTTCCATTCTTCCCATTGCATAAGGATGATACGTAACCCTTGTTCCTTTCTTCACAAAAGTCCCATCAGGTAAAATATCATCTTCTAAACAAAACTTTGAATCAAATTGGATAGGAGGGTAAAGTCTCATACTTTCATAAATGGAAGCTTGTAGATAATGAAGCTCACTCATTTGTTCACAACTTTTGAGATCTTTATTTGGACCAAGAACTCTATCAGCTTCTTCTCTAATGGATTTAGCCACTTGTGGATGATTTGCAATTACATAAAAGAAACTTATTAAGGCAGAAGCAATAGTATCTCGACCAGCTAAGAGAAAACTTATGACAATATCTCTTAAATAAGTTTCATCACTTATTGTTCCCATGAATCTTGAAAGAAGATCCCTATGATTTGAAAAACCTAATTTTCTCTTTTGCCTTATGACTTCTTGTGCTAGTATATTGATCAATTTGATTGCTTTCTTCAACTTCCTTTCGCTCCCTATGTTTAAAAATCTTTTGATTTTCCAAACAATAGGTGATGTAGTCATGGCTCTTTCAGCTGATAATTTTGATGCTAGGTCAAGGGAAACTGCAAATTCTGAGATGGGTAGTGAAGATTCTAAACATTTAGGGTCCAACCCAAAGGAAAATCTACAAATATTATCAAATGAAAATCTTCTAAAAACATCTTGAAAATCCAAAACCACACCTTCTTTATTAGCTAAAAGTGGAAGAAGCCTCTTTTGAATCTCATTATTTACCACTTCAAATGCATATGAACGTATGGAGACTTTTCCAAGTTCAAGACTTGACATTCTCCTTTGAAATCGCCATAAATCGCCATCAACGTTGAATATACCACGACCAAGAAAATCACCTAAGATAGTAGAGAAAGTTTTCCCTTTTGGGTAATTATCAAATCTTGTTTTAAGCATATACTCGACGTTTTCAGGATTCGCAGTGATGGTATTACCAAGAACATGAATATGAATGGTTCTTGTAGGTGAATTTTGAAGAAGGTGAGTGTACCAATCACACAAATTGGTGAATTGTGAAGACCAACTTGTTGTGACATAAGCATGGCAAATTTCACAGTTGCACCAAAGTTTTAGCTTCACTATATAGAAAAAAAGAGAGAAGACTGAAACTATTATGAAGATAAGGATAAAATAGACATGAAAAGACTTCAACCACCAACAAGCTTCAAGATCCATGGAAAAAAGGGGATGAATTCTTGGGATAAAGATAAAAAGATGGAGAGGATAGAAAACCAATGGGAGAGGAAGGGGAAATGAATTGATCAAAATTGATATTTCAATATTCTAATAAAGAATACACGTTCACTCTTACTCTACTATAATGCTTAGAAAACGACACATTATATAATAGCTTACTCCACTAACTATACTACTATTAAAGATTAAACAAATAATTGAATAAAAATCCAAAAACGAAAAGATAATAAGAGCATAATTAACGCGTGGGTAGAAGAACAAGACAGTTAGAAGACGCATCTTTTCTGAATCACGTATTGGAAGTTTGTACCCCAATATTCAATCACGTGCTTTTATTTATTCTTTCATTTGCAGTAGGTATAGTACCACATGTTTTGCAAAAAATTAAATTAGCACTACACTCGGCAGTGTGATTTTTTCATATGCAGGGGGCATATTGTCGCGTTCCTTCCAAGGAATAACATAATTCCAAATTAAAGAGCATAAAATCGGCTATTTCTGATCTTAAACATTAGTTGTATTATTTTTCAAAATATTTGATGTTTTAATAACCTAAAAAGTCATTTATTTCTACTCGATTAGACGTTATCAAAAAAATAAAAGACATTTAAACAAATGCACCTACTATTAAACTATTACTTTAGGAGTATTTCCTAAAGAATGTTAGATTCCCATATTGGCAAAGGAGGAGGGACTTTTGTCTTATGCAACATCACTTTTTTGGAATTGAATTAGACTCAAAATCTATTTTCTTATATGGTTATTAAAGTTAGGTTTATCCTAATTTCAGATTTTTCCAATTCTTGGTTTACTCGATAGCCCCATATTATACTATCCACCAGTTGGCAGACATGTGGGTGCATGAGGGTAATCAATAGTTGATACGAGAGACTTGATTTTCTGGTATGATTTTGAGCAATTTTCGCCTTATAATTTATTTGGATTAAATTAGGTCAAAGGTTCATAACATACGACATTTTACTTTATACGATGCTAACTGACAATGATAATTTTATTTAAAAAGTAATTGTTCTATGTCTTATTTAACTACATAAAAATGTAATCTTTAAATTAAAGAATCTAATTGTGTCATCACATGTATGAGGCATTTAAAGAAGAAATTAATCTTGCTGTATTTTATCTTTATCTCTAGCAAACATGTGTATAGGAAGAAAATAAAAGTGGGGAACAGGTCACATAATATATGATATAGAACGAACAATCTGTACATTTAGGGCAGACAAAGTGGTAGTTTGATCAGTACTATATATTCTCGTGCTATTAAAGATATTTGTGGCTGCAGATGACATATTCTTTTGGAAAAGGAATAGAGGGAAGCCATAGGCCATGAATGCACGTTTGCGTGTTAGGTTAAACAGGCAGCTATCTGCCAAATATTTCTTTGTAAAATTAGTAGCTTGCAATAACTTATGTTGGTGCTTTTATCAAGAAAAAGATATCTAACATTCTTCGCCATAGCCGAGAAAGAAGAAAATCAGAAAACAGTAGTATATATATATATAAATAAGTAGAAAGATTGAAGAGATTCCAAGAACCTAACTTCTTGGATTCTGTTAATGGGAAAATGAATTATGAGCGGTTCAATACAAATGTGTCCAATTCATCCAAATAATGAGTCAAAATTTGTTTTATGAGTTCTGAACTTACTACCGAATTCATTGCTCATTTCAGCTATTGGATCACAATTAAATATATAATTTATTCAATTAATTTTCTAATACAAATATAAATTATAAGTAAAAGTTACTAGATTTGACATAACTTATCCGTAATATTATAGCTCCGCCCCTGAATTCATCGGGGGTAAAGTTGGTTGTATGGCTACTCCTCATAGCTAGTTATGAATTTCCTTCATTCATTTGTTTTCATGAACATATAGACCATAGCCCCGTTTAATCTAGCATAGCACTCTTCCAAAAAGAGTACTAACGTTATATATTCTAGTTTATGTGACACTTTGTAACATGGCCAAATTTTTATGACATTTGTCATGACATAATATCCATTATTAGGCCAAGGATTTCTTGCTATAAATAGAGGAGTTTCTCCTCATTTACAAACACACCAATTCAAGAACTTTTCACTCTTGTCTTTCTTTCTCCTCATTTATTTCATTATAGAGTATTTTGTAAGAGAGTGAGTGTTCGAAAATACTTGTGTGAACCCTTTCTTTGGAGTGATCTTGTGAGGTTATTCTCTTGGGGTATTTGGGATTAATTAGAGTATTTACTCTAATTTTGTACTCTCTTTTGTACTCTTGTTGGTATAGTGAAATTGCTTCTCTCTGCTTGTGGACGTAGGTCACCTTGACCGAACCACGTTAAATTTGTGTCTTCTTTATCTTCTTTAATTGCCGTTATTATCAACTTCCATTGTCTTTGTTATTGTCATTATACCGTTGTTTGGCTAAATTCCGTACTACCCGGGTTCCCGATCCTAACAAATTAGTATCAAAGCCAGATCTAATCGGGTTAGTTTAAATAGCCAAAATGACTCTAACAAAGTCTTATGTTGAGAAATTTGACCGAAGTGCAAACTTCGAAATATGACAATTAAAGATGGAAGCTATCCTAATTTAGAATGGCTTAGATTTGGCACTACAAGGAAATGAGAAGATGCCGGATAAAATGACGAACAAGGAGTTTGTCTTCATAGACAAAAAGACAAAAGCATGTATTATTTTAAATCTTTCAAATGAGGTTTTGCGTGAAGTTGCAGCAGAAAGCTCAGCCAAAGGCATATGAGAAAAACTTAAAACCCTATATATGAAAAGAACAGTAGAAAATAGAATTTACCTAAAGCAAAAACTCTACACTTTTCATATGGTTGAAGGTACCTCTATACTTACTCATCTTGATACTTTTGATTCTCTTCTTATGGATTTAAGTAACATAGATGCTGAAATCAAAGATGAAAATCAAGCTGTGTTATTGCTTGTTTCTAACCCAAGTCGTTTAAACATATAAGAGATACTATGCTTTATGAAAAGAATAATATCTCTTATAAAGATATCAAATCTATTTTGAAATCAAAAGAACAAATAGATATAGATATTACCGGGGAAACTAGTGGGAACCAAGAGGAAGACTTATTCATAAGAGGTAGATCCAATAAGAAAGATTCAAGTAGTGAGAAACCTAAATCAAGGTCAAAATCCAGATATAGAAATGTCATGTGCAAATATTATCATAAGAAAGGTCACATTATTTTTGAATGCTTTAAATTGAAAAATAAAGAAAAACATACAGAAAAGAAAAATGAGCACAAAATACTAACAATGTCGAAGCAAGTGTAGCTGCTGATGAGACTGAGGGAACTATTTTTTTAGCAACTAATAATAGTTTCAAATCTAACAATGAGTGGAATTTAGATTCAGGTTGTTCTTATCATATGTGTCCCAGTCGGGATTTATTTACCACATATGAATCTATTGGAGGTGGAGTTGTCTTGATGGGCAACACTGCTGCCTGAAAAGTTATTGAAAAAGGTACAGTTTGAATCAAAATGCACGATGGTGTGATGAGAACTCTCACCGATGTTAGACATGTTCCTGACTTGAAGAAAAATCTCATCTCTTTGGGTACTCTAGAATCTCTTGGGTGCAAGTACACAGGTGAAGGTGGAGTTCTGAAAATTTCTCATGGAGCTCTTGTGATCATAAAAGCACGCAGATCTGGTACGTTGTATACTCTTTTGGGATCTACTATTACAGGTGCTGCTGCAGTTTCAATATCAGATAAATCAGATTCTGACATCACTAAATTTTGGCATATGCGATTGGGGCATATGAGTGAAAAAGATCTTTCCATCCTGAGTAAAAGAGGTCTCTTATGTGGCCAAAGTACCAGAAATATGGAGTTATGTGAATATTGTGTGTTCGAGAAGTAGAAAAGAGTCAGCTTCAAATATCCAGCGATTCCTAGAACAAAAGGTACTTTGGATTACATTCATTCAGATCTTTGGAGTCTTTCACGTACCCCATCAAAAGATGGTGCCAGGTATATGTTAACTTTCATTGATGATTATTCAAGAAAAGTTTGGGTTAATTTTCTGAAAAATAAAAGTGATGTTTTCTTAAATTTCAAACAATGAAAAATTTTGATTGAGAAGCAAACAGGAAAACAGGTTAAGCGGCTTAGAACAGATAATGGCTTGGAATTTTGTAATGATGAATTCAACGAATTTTGCAAGAATGAAGGAATTGCTCGACATCGTACTGTGAGAATGACACCTCAGCAAAATGGTGTGGCAGAAAGGATGAATAGAACTCTTTTGGAAAGGGCTCGTTGCATGATTTCAAATGCTGGGTTGACAAACGCCTNATTGCATGATTTCAAATGCTAGGTTGACAAATGCCTTTTGGGCAGAAGCTATCTCTACAGCTTGTTATATAGTCAACTGAGCTCCTTCTGCACCTTTGAACTTTAAGATTCCAGAGAAAATGTGGTCAGGTACTCCTGCTAATTATTCTGATTTAAAGATATTTGGTTGCCCTGCATACATGCATGTAAATGATGAAAAATTAGAGCCAATGGCTAAAAAGTGCATTTTCCTTGGGTATGCATCTGGGGTGAAAGGATACCTACTATGGTATCCTGATCCCACGGCACCAAAATTTATAATTAGCAGAGATGTAACCTTTGATGAATTCTCTATGTTACATTGTAGAAAAAAATCTTCTAGTTCTTGTAATACTGATAAAGGAAAGAGTACACATAACCAAGAGGAGATTGAGATTGGCATTCCTTATGAGCCAAGCTCATCAACTTTGGGGAAAAATACAGTTGAAACTCCTGAAGTTGAGACAGAAGCTGAAATTCCTGAAGTTAAACCAGAAGAAGAGGAATATTCTATAGCCAAACATAGACCAAGAAGAGAAGATAAACAACCATTAAGGTTTGGAGATTATGTTGCATTTGCTTTTCAGTTGCACAGGAAATTGAAGAAATTGGAGAACCATCAAAATATTCAGAAGTAGTTTCTAGTGCTGACTCAGCCAAGTGGATGATTGTAATGAATGAAGAAATTGAGTCTCTCCACAAGAATGGTACTTGGTCTCTTGTGAAGCCGCCATCAGGAAAAAGAATTGTTGGTTGCA